GACTGAGCCTGAACTCTCTACAATATTCAAGTTAAAAATGTAAAAGTTGTTCCCATTAAAATCATTTGTAATTTTTCTTTAGATATCACGTAGGCCTATACTAAGAATGAAATTAATGTCACTGAACCCAACAGTGGTGAATATTATTAGTTCAAAACCCTACATATTATTTAATATTTATTCTCAAGTGCATTTGTACCAAACTTTTTCCATATCTATCCATTAATTGCAATTGTATTCATTTAAAAAAAAAATTAAAAATTTGGCACCCAACCCTGAACGGAATATTTTTTTTTAAATAATTAAAACCCCGTCAACATTTACTTCTAGATCTAATGAAGTGAATCAAATAATAAGTATCCCAAGTTTGATTAAGATCAATTAATCCACGTAGAAATGTATGCGGTGCAAACATATTTATTCATGCATATGGTAGATAAATATGATACCATGAAGATACGTTTATGAAAATGTGAAGTTTTATTGATTTGTTAAAATTATTTTATTTAAGACAAACAACTAATTAAGAAATCAACATCTCCATATTAATGAATATCGTTAAGGCATTTTGTGGTGTTTTTTTCTCCATTTTTCAGTCTCTTGCACAGTTTTTAAATTATAATCATTCCGTATCATTAACTGATGTTGGTAAAAAGATCTACACAGAAACTTATCGCGTGGCACTTAAGAAGCTTACAACAAATTTACAACATGTAAATAAGTGTATTAAAAGGATAAATCTAATAAGGACTGAAATTGTTAGAGCTTTATGGTAAGCGCTATATAAAAATGCCTAAATAAATAAATAAATTGTTCCGTGTGTAACAAATTGTGACTTTGAGACATTGCTCTAGGCCTACTGATACAACGCACCCACCCATTCACCCACCCATTCACCCACCCATTCACCCACCCATTCACCCACCCATTCACCCACCCATTCACCCACCCATTCAGGGACGTAGTTTTAAAATGCTATTCCGGAGCTAAATCACGAACTTGCGATTTTGTCCGCCCCACACACATATGCCAGATAACACATATGCCAGATAACACATATGCCAGATAACACATATGCTAGATAACACATATGCTAGATAACACATATGCTAGATAACAGATATGCTAGATAACAAATATTCTAGATAACACATATGCTAGATAACACATATGCTAGATAACAGATATGCTAGATAACACATATTCTAGATAACACATATGCTAGATAACACATATGCTAGATAACACATATGCTAGATAACACATATGCTAGATAACACATATGCTAGATAACACATATGCTAGATAAAGTTTATAAGAAAAATAATAAAAGAACCGCTATGACAGTAAGACCCTAGTTAATCCAAGTTATGCCAAACCATTCTTAATACACGCCCCTAAACTATAATGGGATAATTCTAATATAATATTCAACCTTTCTTTATCGAGCACCCATTCCTCTCCCCCTTCCTTTTCATGATACGTCACTGCACACTTTTTATTTCACGCCCATGAACTATATAAATAATATAGCCGACCGCAGCTTAGCATACGCCGTGAGCTGGCTGGCAAGGGAAGGGAGGGTTCTATAATATATAGCGTGCGTGGTCGTCTTGCCTGGGAAGGGAGGGTTCTATATATAGCCTGCGTCTTGGTCTTTGTCTTGTTTGCCCTAGTTTCTGGCAAATTATATGCATTTATGTTGTTGTTGTTCGTCGACGTCGACTAGGACCATCGAGTCATCCGGTTAAGGGGAGGTGGGTTACGGTGAGCTCGTAGTGGCTTGCTAGATCGATCCGTGCTCGTAAAAATCTCTGGCACCGCGGACATTGGATAGTTGCTGCAGCCGGTGACCTAATGTTGCTCTTTCGGGCTGTTGTGCGTGTCTCAGCTGTGGTTATCCTATTAGCTTCATGCGATTTAGCTCCCTTCTTGACAGCTGCTCTCCACGTGGCTATGTCCTGGGCTGTCTGCACCCATTGAGTAGGGTTGATGCTGAAGGCCTTTAGTGCCACTTTCAGTGAGTCTTTATAACGCTTTTTTGACCTCCTTGGGAGTGCTTGCCTGTCGTGAGTTCTCCGAAGAATAACTGTTTCGGGAGCCGGTGGTCTTCTATACGGGCTATGTGTCCCATCTTAAGGAGTTGAGACTGAATCAGGGTGGTGAAGATACTAGGTAGGTTCGCTCTAGCGAGGACCTCTGTGTCAGGGACTTTGTCTTGCCACCTGATGCCGAGGAGTTTCCTGAGGCAGGTTGTGTGAAAATGATTCAGTTTCTTGGCGTGACGTTGGTAGGCTGTCCACGTTTCACATCCGTTGAGCAGTGTTGGGAGGACTGTTGCGCTATAGACCTTGATCTTCGTTTCACGTCTGATACCTCTCCTGTCCCAAACAGTTCTTCGGAGCCTGCCAAATATGGCACTAGCTTTTGCGAGTCTGCCATTCATTTCATCATGCATATAGATGTATGTTCCTAAGCTTAACTGTTTCACCATCATCCTGATCTAGTGGTCATTTGGGTCAGTCGCCCTTTGGCATCCAGCCATTATGAAAAATGTGCAGGTCAGGGCTTAAACTATTATTGTTTTATTGAAATATTTTCCAGCAATTTTACGATTTAAATCAAAATTAAAAACAACAGTTAACATTACAAGACATTTCTTTTCAAATCAAATTCACTAACAATTATTATATGACGCATTTATTGAAATATAAAGCTCTGGAATACAAAAAAACATATGACATATTGTATATATTAATATGAACTTGTATCATAGAATTTTAACTGCATAATAAATTTAACTGCTGAAAATGTCTCTTTGAAATATTTATGTAAGTCAAGTCACATATTTAAAAAAAAAAAAATAGCAAAGTAAAAACAAATGTAAAAATTGGATACATTTTATACAAAATGTCGCATTATTTATATAAATTTAACTGCTGAAAGTGAAAGTGTCTCTTTAGAGCAGGGGTTTCAAACTCACGGCCCGCAAGACAATATTTTGTGGCCCACTTCATAACAGCAAAGTAGGCCTATAGTGTTAATGCGGCCTGCACGTTTTCCATCTTCTCGTATCTATAATGTGACCCTCCACAACGGTTCAAGTCGAATCTTACCAACTAGTCTAATTCTAATTTTTATTATGTTTGTATAAATTTTTATGTTGATTATGATGGTAAGAACCGTTTTAAAATCGAACTAAAAGTTTTTATTTTACAGCATTTAATGAGACAAACATGGCCTATGAGCGGTTTTGAGAAAAGTTTTTAAAAGTCAGTCGGTGGGTAATGCACAACCATAATTGTGTAAATCGTAGCAATCTGATACAGTATCATAGAATCCCAATTAAAATTGCCGCTAGTGTTTACGAGTGAGGGAAATTCCGAGCCTGTCAGCTTGGTCACTTTTAAAATAAGGTTAGTTAAAAAGGCCTTTTCTACAATTAAAAAAATCAAAATTCATTCTCCCTACAATAGCATTTTTATTCTCATCAATAATTCATAAACATTGCCTGCTCCTGCCTACTGTTTAAACACGTTTTAGCATTTAAAGCGTTCATGGAGAAGAATAGGATGGTTATTTCTGTACTAAGTGATCCCAAATGGCTCATGGACTTGGCTTGCATTGTTGACATTACACAGGAGCTCAATGTTCTCAACAAGAAGTTACAAGACCAGGGCAGTTTGTCAGTGTTGCCTATGACAATGTCAGGACATTCTGCATAAAACTTGTGTTATGGTTCCTAGAAAAACCTCTGCCATTTCCCAACATGCAAAATACTCATGGAATCGGGCACAGTATTCAGTAGTAACTTAGTATTTAAGTATACTGATGCCATTGCAAAGCTCCATGAAGAATTTGAACACAATTTTTAGACTTCAAAACACACACAGCCACTTTTCAACTTTTTGCTAATCCTTTCTCCTTTAATGTGGAAGATGCCCCCACCCCTAAACTTGCACTTCAAGTGGAGCTGATTGATCTTCAGTGCAATTGTAAGTTCAGGGAATTGAATAGAAAAACAGACAAACATGGACACTTTATGAGAGCATTGCCCTCCACCTTTCCTGAGATTTCCAGATTGTTCAAGCGGATCACATGAATTTTTGGGAGTACCTATCTGTGTGAAAAGCTCTTCTTCTTCTTCTATATCTTAAGGGCCCACGATCAACTTATTGATCATTTTGGCTCCTATGCATGTAGATAGGATTTGCAATGTTTCTGTTACTGGTGTTGATGAGGAAATCATGCACTAGGGGTTTGAAGGCTGGAGGCAATAGACACAAATGTGTCTAGTGTTGTCACCTAAACCGTTCCTTTTGAAAGATTGTTCCAGTCCCTGATTGTTCTGGGCAGGAATGAGCAGCTCCTATACTGGCTTCTTGCTGGTAGGAGCCTGAATTGCCTGTCATGGCCTCGTCACTGTCTATGGGGGAGAGGGACGAGTTTGGACCAGCCCATTATTTATCTTGTACATCATGGAGAGCCTGGATTGTCATCGTCGTTTCTCCAATGGTGACCAGCCTAGTGTTTCTAGCATGCTGCCAACACTAGAGGTATTCCTGTAGCGGTTTAGGACAAAGTGTGCTGCTCGTCGCTGGACCGCCTCCAACCTGTCAATGCTCTTCTGGGTAAATGGGTCCAAGACTGAAGATGCATAATCTAAAATCGGACGGATAAAGGCTTTATATGCTCTTTCTTTCACACAGGAGTTGCTCTTTTAAACTATGAACTTCAACAAGTCAAAATTTAGGGGCAAACTAACTGATGAGCATCTACAAGCTATACTGAGGGCCTCCTCACTCAAGCCAAAGTTGCTCAGCTGATGATTTGAGTTTGAGACCCCTGCTTTAGAAACTTTTGTGTATTTGACATATTTGTTTTGGAAAAATGGTGTTACCAAAGATAAAAACAGTGTAAAAATGGGTTAAAATTTTTTAAAAAAGATCAGATTATTTATAAAATGAATGATTGCATAAATTAAAACATGCTTAATAAATGTTCGCAATTAATTCAAATTTTAAACAAAAGAATGTTAAGATAATGGAGCATTCAAATTCAAAGATTATTCAAAGAGAGTTCCTTGTTTTTTTCAATGAAATCATTATTTTAAACCATGTTTCTTTAAACTATTTGCTAATAGTTAAAAGCAGGTGCACTAAACTAGTTAGTAAACAGGGCCTGGAATCCTCTTCCACTGATAGTTGGGTCAGACTTGAAGACAATGTACATGCCAGTCCCAGCTGATGCCATCACATCTTGGGGTAGGGCACTGCCACAGAATTTACCAAGCAATGGGCCATGGACAGAATTTCCACTGTACACAGTGACAGAATCATAGGAGCATGCTGTATCACTCTCCATTTCTATATCAGAAAATCTGAAATCATAGTTAAAAAAATATTTTTTTTTTGAGCAAGTAGGACTAACAGAGGAAAATTTTTATATTTATTTCTTTTTAAAAATCAAACATTTATGTCAGGGGCACTTAACCCTTTGGTAGCACCGTACCCCCCTTTTAAGGTCAAAATATTTCCAGCACCTCATCTGGATTTCAAAATATATATTTTCTGCACCCTTAAAGATAAATTTTAAAAATAAAATGCAAATAAACCTGATTTTTTGGGTCTCCCTGTACCCCCTGATACTGCCTCCCAAACTAGTTAACAATCCCCCAATTTAAGCAACCCAAATTTGATACATACTGTATTTCTGACGCATTCCCATTTTAAAATATGGCATTTGACCTAAATAAGTTTAAGATTTGGTTGGTGTTAGATATCATCAAAGGAAACCATACAAAACTATAGTCCTGTACCTTAAAGTGATGGGTGCATTCTGGGAACCTGGAATGTACCAGCTGCAAGTAAGGTTACCTTTGTACTTCTGTGGGTATGATGGACTTACTATGAAGCCAGAATTTTCTGCTACAGTTGAGTTACAACCTGCAGAAAATTATGAATGATTATTATATATTTTGGGGATGAAAACCATAAATTCTATATATGGACAAGATAAATTGTTAACGACATTTTTAAACATAGTACAATAATTAGTCCAGAACAAATTATATAATTTGCTATCATCAAAAAATTAATGTTTGTCTATTTTTTATTTTTAGTAAAATAAATATAGAATTTTACCGTTAATCTCCAGACACCTGGTGTCATTGTGGGGATCTAGTCTGGTCCATGGTGGACAGATGCAAGTCTCTACTCGAGGGTTAGTGCTGACAACCTGGCAAGTGTGAGTACATCGTTTGATCCTGCATTGTGCTGAAAAAAAATTTAGAGTTTCTATGGCAACACATTTCTTTGGAAAATATATCGACCAACAAAGGATAAATTTGGATGGAGAATACAAACCAACCAGGAATTTTATAGTCTATAACAGGATCTGACTGTAGTAGCAGAAATAAAAAATGGGTAGGCTACGCTGAGCAGGACAATTAGAAAGAATGGCAAATGACAGAGGAGAGAAGAGGGTACATCATCAAAACCCCAGAGAAAAACGGAAAAGAAATGCATAAGTTAAGAATAAGTGGAAGGAAGTAGTGAGGCAGGCAAAGCCGTATATGGGCTGTAGCACCACAGGGATGGATATGGCAACACAAAGATTACATCTTGACCTAGTCCTACAACAGTTATAAGTTTAAATAACTTCTACAATAAAGGGAAGTTATAAATTTTAAAAAAAAAGATCTTCAGATATAAATATAATCAGCATACATATACATGCATCTATTAAGACATTTGTTTAATTTATCAGAAAATAAAATCATTAAAATATTAAGAGAATAAATTTGAATCCTTAAAGTTTTAAACAAAGTCATACCCCAGTTGAATTCAAGTAAGGTTAAACAAATAAAATACAGCAACTGTGAACATTAAAAATTTATCACCAACATTTTGCAATCTGCTGATTTCTAACAATTTAAAAAAACAAAACATAATTCACTTCCCAACTCACTTTCTGCTACATAAGAAGCTATGAATCCCCTTAGATTTACAGATGAATCTGAAGTGAAGACAACATGCAAGGCATTTCCAGAGGAAACAATAGTATTAGGAACCTCTTCACAGTATTGACCAATCAAATTTGCATGAGTGTTGAAACCATCGTAGACCTCTAGGTAGTCAAAGGGGCATCCTTCCATCTCAAAGTCTGTGATGCTATTCAATAAATTTATTGCAAGTTTTTATAAATAGTTTTCTTAAATTATATTTAAAAGTTTTAGTGTTATCCATGATATTACCTACTCAATTTATACTTTTATAAATCTCAAAGACAAATCTTTTTTAATAATACAGTTATTCATGAAAAAATTTAATTGCATTGTAAACTATAACAGAATGGAAAAGCTCTGTATATATCAATACCTTTTTTAACCAAGCATTTGGATATACCCATACATGCCAACCTGTACGTCTTACCAATTACCAATACTTTGTCCAGTTTTTATACATTTGCCAAGTTGTACCGCCATACAGGCTTATGTACAGTTTTTTACTGGATTTAGAAAAGAAATATTTTTGACCAGACACGTGTTTTTAAAAACTGGCGGTGCAATAAATTCAAAGTTGGACAAAACAAACCTTACACCCTATTGGTCCATTAAAAATCACTTTCAGGATTAGAAGGCCATCTAAATTTAGAAACTGCATGGTTTCATTAATATCATCCGTTTGTAATTCTTAAAAAAGAACTGCCGTATTAAAAAGTGTCCTTTTAAGTTCTATTCAATATTTTTTATGTTACTATCAATCAATGACTAGTGTTAGTGTTCCTATTAATTACAAAGCGTGGCTTAATTTTATGTGTTCCCCTTTCTAAAACTGAAACCAGTGTGATCTTCCTAATTGTATAAATATATTTTATTTTGAGCCAAAATCAGTGAGAATTGAAAGCTTTATTATATATATTCTTTTTGTATTTAGCATTTTATTCCCAGTGGAAACTTCCTATTAATACTTTATACCCACACGGCTCAAGGAGTAAAAAAAAATGTAACCATCCTAATGAAATATTCCCCTGGTACAATGAAAAATAGTTTTATAAGATGAAGATAAATTGAATAATTTTTCACAACAGACACATTTTTTTACTTTGTTAATTTAAATTCAAGAATCTGTATTGCTACATTATACATTTAATTATTTAATTTTTGCAACAAACTGACAATAACTTACTTCAATGTAATAATGGCATTGACTTCCTGAGACACCAAAGTCCAAGTACAATAAGACTCATCAGGATAGTTTGATGGGTAGTTGGTACTCATAAGTTTTCCTGATGTTGCTGTGAGTGTTCTGTTACAATCTTAATTTTAAAAAAACCAAAAGGATATGCTTTAAATATAATTTTCTTCTTCTTTCAGAACTATGTTGGAAATATTTTTTAAATAATATTAATTTTTCATTAACATGCAGTGTAAGAAAGATATTTTCAAGTTTTTTATATAGATAAAAAAAATTTATTTCATCCAAAATATTATTTACTGTTTACTTTTATTGTCTATAATATTATTCTTAGAATAGACAGTAAACGTAATTTTTACCTCTGCATCCATTCACAGCATCTACTGGCAGTCCATTCCTACACAAACATTCATAGCCGTTAGCTTTCCGTTGACACAGCAAGTTGTTTGGACAAGGGTTGCTCAGACAGCTGTCCAGTACAGAGCAGTCATTGCTTGTAATTCCAGCTTTACAAACACATTGACTCAAGGGTTCGTTACAGAATTCTGTATTCTCTGGCACACATCTATTAGAGCAATTCTTTGCTGAATACAAGAAATTAAAAAAATTATTTTATTAGCTTTGAATTCGTGTCATTCAATCAATTGACGACATAGGCTACCTTTGAATTTTTTTAACACACCCACCCCCCCCCCCCCCCTTTCCACAAAAAATATGAGAAATGTAATTGTCTTTATTTAATTTTTCTATCCAAGGAAAATGAATCCTCTTATCTTGAAATTTCTTACTAAATATCTCTAGGGCTGCCATTTCTTACTTCTCAGAGTAGTGTCTGTTCATTATTATTTATAACATGTATTGATATAAGTATATATGTAATGATAGGTGTGACTTTGTCACTCGACAAAGTTTGGGAAAAACTGATCCATAATAGCTGTAAAAGTATAAGGCTTACCAAAACAGGTCCTTGAATCTAATGGACTAAGAACATAGCCATTCTCACAGCTACAAATAAAAGAGCCTTCTGTGTTAGTACAGATGTGGTCACAGACGTTGGTACTATTGCACTCATCTTTATCTGTAGGTAAATTTATTTTTTAGGAACTTATAGGGCATTGAAAGTTAGATTAAAACAAAGAATAATTGAAAATAAAGGCAGAAGATAACGTAAAAAATATGTAAAAGTATATCCCTATAATTTACTAATATTCCTAAGACAGAGCTGTCCAATGCATACCATAGATCAAATACTGATGTTTCAATAAAAAGATGCAGATTTCATGGAAAATTAAATATCTTATTTTGCTAAATATATTTAAAAACATTTATTGATAAATCCAAATTCTATTCCTTGTTAATTTTTGTTTCAATGCCTCTGTAAGCCACTGTCAGTATGAATAACATGTCTACTTTAATATTCACTAACCAGTACATCTTCCCTCAACATTTTCAAAGCCAGTGGGACATGGTCCACACACATGGCCTATGGAACTGTTTCCTTGCTGGGCAGCTGTCAGGTCTGTACAGTTCTGTCCCTTGGCACAGGGCTTAGACTTGCAAGCATCCTTCTCAGCAGCACATTTATCACCTGAACGTTTGAGGACCACTCAAAGTTATCATGCCTTTTGTTTAATTGCTATCTATTTAAGTTTCATGATTCTACTCTCTTGCTAATTAAAATGTACTCCAGCATTTATTTAAAGAGTCAATGGTAATCTTCTACGCATATTCTATTAATAAAATTTTTAAATGTCTCACCTATAAAGGCAGCTAGGCAGGTACACTTTAAAATCTGAACTTGTCCAGAGAAATTTTCAGTTTTCCTGGATGAATTAGCACTCTGACATGTGCCATGATTGTAACACTGAGGGCATATCAATGTAGAAACATACAACCATGGGGAGTATCCATTCTTTGAGTCCTTGACCCGTACACTGAGAAAATTATATATTTTTTATAAACTTATTTTTGCTTTAAATTATAAAAATTTATTTTGCCAAGGTCTTTAGTTTTGTTGTTGTTTTTTTTGCATGTTTTAACTTGGTTTGTTTTTAATTTCTAAAATGATTTATCTCAATTTAAGATAACTTCATTGAAATAGAGAGATGTAGGCCTATGCTTGAACTTAAGTAACAAATTTGTAGCCTCTATGTCAACTAGTGACTGACACAATAGCTGATTTACAACATGTAACAGACCATGTCTGCAATTTTGAACACGAAACCATTAAGTCAGGGAGGTGTCATGATTTGAATAGTGAACTTTTTTAACTAGCAGTATTTCATGGGAAAAGAGAATGAACTATATTTTTGTACAGCGGAGGTGAACCGCACGTTATAGTGATCAGGGCAGTACATTTTAAGTCGAACAGAAGATAGGACGTGTTTAACTTACTGTCATGTGAATTATTTCTATCATGTGTGGAGTATTATATATGTATGAGATAATTGCATTCTGGATTTTTCACTTGGATATTAATGCAAGACATATTATTATTATTGTTGTAGTAAGTGAAGTAATAAAGTACTGTGTAATTTATTCGTGGAAGTTATCATCTACTTCATTGTGTGAGAGGCCATCAAGTTGAGGAGTGAAAAGGTGAATTAGTTATTACATTACATAAGAGAAGCCGGCATCCTGAACTATCAATTAAGTAAATTAGTTAACCTTGCTACTACCACAATAATTACCATGTGCTACACAACAATAATCTGCTTAAAAACAATTCAATGAGACAAGTTTGCACGGCTTATTTGATTATGGGTGCTAACATAAAAGCTCACATACGCTATATTGACAGGATCTAAAGTGTTTGGTGAATATGTAAGGAAACCACTCTGGTTGATAGATACATCTCTAGGGCTGCCATCCAGCAAGTATGTCAGCAAATCTCCATCTTGATCAGTGGCTGTAAACCTCAGTGTGTTGACAACACCCTCCTGAACAAACCAGCGATCGTTGACAAATGTACCACTGCTCTGGACAACTTCAACATGGGGGATGATATTTTCTGAAAACAAATAAAATGAACCACTCTCAGTATTAAATAAACTTCAATTTTAATTTTGTTAATTTTAAAAAAAAGAATTTTCTGTGTGACATATACAATATTCAATTAGGGATTGTCAACAGAAGGGCAAAAATATTAATTCATGAAAATTGCTGGTAAATAAATTTCACTTTTCTTTTCTTTAAATTTTAACATATTAAAAACTGTTGTGTATGTTATATAATATATCACACTGTGCATTTGACCCACAGGGTATTTTCTCAAAATAACTGGACCCAGTTTAAAACACTGCATCTGGTTAAGCCCTAGTTTATTTATATTTCACAAGTGGAAACGCTAATTAAACTAGTGGCAATGTGATTTGTAAGTGTATGTTGTACTCCATCCTGCCAACAGGTGCCTGTAATATCTATGTGTATCAATCATATATTAATATGTGCAAAAATGTATAGCAGATTGTTTCATGTAATAAATTATGTTAAACGCTAACTTGTTAGAAGCAGAGAAAAAGATATAAAAAACACTCCAGTATGTATGTCCATTAGCCTTTTTAAAATTCCTGCAAAATGTAGCCATTATTATATTTTTAATAGTCTTATTTTAATCAAAATCTATAAGTTACTGTTTTTGTTTTTATAGGTGTTCAAAACCACAGCTGGGGAAAGTATGGTTTAATATGGTTAATAATGAACTTAAATTGTACCTAGTACATTTCTTGAAGCTATAGAAAAGTCCCAAGTCATTTTTGTATTGTTGGCAAAGTTTGCATCCCCTGTTACTAAGAAATCATAAATACAAAGTTCTTGTCCTTCACATAAATCTGTGGCAGTTTTCAACAGCGTTGCATTGGGATTCAGGGTGTCTCTAGTCACAGGGATAAATTCAGGATGATAAAAGTCTGCAGCACTCTGTCCTTTGATGTAGAAAAATACTGATGTGGCTGCTGATACTAGATCTGCAAAATAATTTTTATCAAATTTCAAAAAGCTATCCCTTACTAGTGGGATCTCAAACTACTTAACATAATTGAAAATTCAAAATGATATTATTTTACAATAGTAAACCGTCAACATTTTCAAGAAAAATAGCCAGCAATGACAGCAATAAGTAGAAAAATTTATGAAGAGAGCAGACATTCGAATAAAAGAACCTACATTGTGTAGCAAAATTTCTATAGATTTCTTTCTCTGTCATGTTAGCAGGCAGGACAGTTCCATTAGGAAGAAGAAAATCATCATTGGGACGACCATTGAAATTTCCAAGTAAACCTCGAGTTTTATCCCTCAGTTCCTTATCCACTTCTAGGTTCAACTCTAAACCATTGACTCCAACATTCACTTCAATAGCCACTCCTGGAAATTTAAAAAAAAACGACATACTTAAGCAAAGTAATCTGATAGTTTCAGCTAGCAAATTATACAATATTAAACTATCATCTACCTTACAAACCTGCTCATAGACTTTTAATAAAATAATGTATTGAACAAACTCTAGAAATATGTTTAGAAATAAATGTTAAAAGTTTGTTACATGTGGCAAAAACTTTACTGAAATGTTTTAGTTCCATGGTTAATTTTAATCAATCACATTATATTAATTATATTACTACATTAAAATAGGGCATCTTACCACATGGATATATGGCATCTTATCACAAGGAAATAAGGCATCTTACTACAAGGAAATATGGCATCTTACCACATAGAATAGGGCATCTTACCACATGGAAATAGGGCCACCACTTTGGTTTTGTTGAAACGACTGTCACGAGAGAGCTCTATGTATTCCAGCGACTTTTTAAAAGTTCCAGAAAGGTAAAAGTCTGATGTGATGTTAACACCATCCAGAAAGATGACCATTGCTAAAATAATCAGATTTCATTTAGTCAGACTTTTATGAAATTCTAAGTGCATATTATGATTTGGCCAGGAAGATTGAACATTTCCTTTCTAAGAATTGTTTTAAAATGTATTATTTTGCTTTTTGTGGTTAAAAAAGGTAATGCACGAAAAAATGAAGAGCTCTTATGAAAGAATCACTGTGATCAAACTATAAACTATTTAAACTAAACATTAACTATATGGGGCCTAAGCATGAGCAAATCATATTTGGGTGAAGTAATTAAATATTTAACAGAGCATATGAATTTTTTAAAACTTAAAGACCTATTTATTCATAGAATGTTGCA